TCCAGCTCCAGCTCCGGCACCTCCATTAGGCTCTCACCCTATGATCACACGAGCCAAGGCTGGTATTTTCAAAACTCGCCATCAGGCTAATATTGGCACTTTAGGTTATTCCGGTCTTCTTTGTGCTCTTCTTATCTCTATTGAGCCTAAAGGTTTCAAATCTACTGAAAAGAATCCTGTGTGGCTTGCTGCCACGGATGAAGAAACGCAAGCCTTGCAAAACAACCGTACCTGGATTTTGGTCCCTAGGCCTGCTAACACCAATATTGTGGGCTCCAAATGGGTATTCAGGACCAAATTTTTGTCTGATGGATCCATCGAGCATCTCAAAGCTCGTCTTGTTTCTAAGGGTTATACACAGGTACTTGGTCTCGACTACAATGATACCTTCAGTCCTGTTATTAAGGCTTCCACTATTCGCGTTGTACTTTCTATTGCTGTGTCTAACAAAATAACATTTTGCACAATGAAAGGTGGAAATTGGGGTGAAAATGTTAAAAAATAAAAGGTATGGATGTTTTGCACAATGACATTGATATGTAAGGATGTTTTGTGCTATTTACCCTAAAAAATTTCGTTGTTTGTACTGTGTAGATTGTTGTATAGCAAACGTGATAGTAATGTTTACAGTAGATATCCGATAATTGATTCTCCCATGCCATTGATGATTTATCAAAACGATGTTATATAATAAAACAAGCAGCATGTCAAAATCATCAAAACATTGAATCATGCCCTGTTTTTAACAATTAAAATTATCGAATATTTTTGCTAATTGTCGCTCTCATAATTAGGACCGGCCAAAACAAGTATATCAACTTGAAAAACGTGTTTTAAAAATGTCTTTATTTATTTATTTTTTTGTCTATATAAAAAACAAACAAGGTTCTGGATTACAAACAAGGATGCTGCGAATTGTATCCACTCTGCAGTTATTGTGCTTGCTCCGAGTCTCCGACGAAGACATATGCCTACGTAAGACGCACCTCTCAATTAATCTACATACTAATAAAAACTGTAGTAATTTACTCAGAAGTAAGCAAGTAACATTTCATTGATTAATATAAGTAGCTAAGGTAAGATTTTTATTATTTTTATTTTTTTTAGTTACTTTCAAAATAATTAACTTATTTGAACATTTTTCTAAACAGAAAGTAGCATTTAATTATTTTAAACTGTGAATATAATGGGATGCTATTTGATTTGTGCAGTACGAACCACAATGGAAATAAAAGTTGGTGAGAAGACTTTGATGATTGCGGCAACACCCAAAAAGTCTTAAATCAAGGAGCTAGTTGACTGATTTTGCAACTATATATATACTTAAAATAATTAATAATCTGTTTGAAGACTTTGTGTCTATAAAAAATAAATTGTAGATCTCATCGCGGAGTCTACATTGTGAAAGTCAAACATGTTTGATAACATGTGGCGTGTTAAAACTATTTTAAATGAATGTATTGTAAAATAATTAATGTTGTTTTTCTTTGTCTCCTTATTACAACTTTAATTTTAACAAATTAATTACTAAATCCTATTCACCCTTTGCTTGGCATGGAAGGGTGACAAAAGTGGAAAGATTCGTAACCCTTTGCATGGCGTGGAAGGGTGACAAGAGTGGAAAGATTCATATCATTAAGCTATTCACGTATTCTCAATTATATATATTCATCTTTTCTACTCATGCCTGAATTTGCTAATCTGCTAAATCATACTCATAAGATTCTCATTAATGTAACTAAATAGAGGACATATTTCGCAAATCTTGTGAGGGATGCTTGGTAAGGGACAATCATTGTCACTGGTCCAAAATTAAGTTATACTAGCGTGACACCACCCGACTTAAAACTTTCAATATACAAGAGTCTATGTATATGTGTAAAGAATGTTTTCACAAAAAATAGTTTAAAATAATTATTAAGGTACATGGATAAATTTGTACATGGTTGGGTCGTACAATATTGAGATTTAAAATCGTCTAAATAGCACTTAATGTATGGGGTACTCACAATCATTTTTCCCTAGTCCTAGTACTTCATTCTTCCTCTTTTTTCAATAAAATTCTAGCATCTTATGATAATTATAGGAAATAATTACTTAAAACTATAACAACTACATGACTTTTTAATTTTTTATTTTTGGTAATCTAAAAACTTATGTTTGTTATAAATAATTACATAAAACAATAAAGAATAAGGACAAAAAAAAAAAAAGAAATATATACAAACAAAATGAAAAAATAAGAATGAGGAAAAAAAAGGTAGTGTTGCAAGAAGGGACAATGCAATGCAGGTAGCTCAAGACTCTAAACATGTGATACTCATTCATATAAATATGTGGGAGAAAAATTTTATGCTTATCTCAATTATGTACTATATTCAGAAATCAATGCACGATATAAATATGTCGTACTTAATAATTGAGGACCATACAATTGAAGATTTCCTTCAAATAACCAAAAAAAGGGGGATAATTGCAGCAAAAGCCCTAAACCTATCAAACACTAGCAGCCTTCTCCCAAACCTTTTATTTGTAACAGTCGTCACCCCTAATCTTTTCAATCGTTGCATGTGAGGCCATTTTGGACGGATACCATCCAAAATATCATGAGTTGATCATTATACTCTGATTTCATCTTGTCACTTTGTTCAAGTATATTTCGATAACCTGAAAGCATGAGTTTTTGTCAGATTGTTTGAAGGAGAAGACAATAATCCAGAAATAACACATTAAATTGGTTTTATAAATTAAACTGTAGATATCTGCTTGGAGACTACATTAGATCTTTGTTTGGAAACTACATAGTAGAAGTATATCCAACTTTAATTACCCATATTATGTTTTATATTTCAATAAATATGGTATCAGTATATTGTCTTCTTTAAATTCTTTATCAAATTGATATAAGCTCTAACATCAATACTATTTGAGCACCACATCTTCCAACTGCTTTAATATGTATTCACTTATTTTACTATTTTCTTTCTTCCCTTGTTTTACTATTTCTCTTTCATTTTTAATATTACATGTCACTGACATGGCCGACTTATCCCAAAAGAAAATAATTCTTCCAACTACCTTATTTAAGAGATAGATATGTTATTTTGTTTCAAGGAACAAAATGTGCCATTTTGAAAAATGGTCCACTTCCATCATGATAGAGTCCATTAAATCTAATAGAGTAGACCAATAACAAAATTCAAAACTAATATCTTTTCAATAAGAGGTAGCATCAGAAAGCTGCATGGAAGATGAATTAAACCTACATATTAATCTAATATGCGCACGCCAGCTGCATGGAAAATTTGCAATGAACTTTACAATGGTGACAAATAGTACGTACGTATTGAACTCATTTCATCTTGGTAGTTGAAAATTTATGAAATTTAAGTTAGGGATTACTTGACATTACTCATACTTTTTGTAGAAGAGCTTTCTAGAAAAGTTAACTGCTACCAACTTCCTCTAAAAAGTTTTCCTGCTTCGTAAATTACTATAAAAAAATATTTGAACACATTAAAAAGTAGCTTCTTAGTTTAAAAAATAACTCTTTACTTTTCAAAACCATGCCAAATGAGCCCTTAGGCACTCCACTTTGAGCGTTTGTTACAATATGATTATTTTTGTCTATACAATGTTAGTTTGACAAGTAGATTTAAGAAGATAAAAATATTTAATTGTTAAAAAGGAATCCAACGAGCTAAGCAGAGTATGCTAAATATTTATTTAGTTAAATTATTAGGAGTCAATATCATTGGAAATAAATATAAATAAAAAATTTCATTGTTTGTACTATGCAGATTGTTGTATAAAAAGAAATGTATAAAATATTTCATTGTTTGTATTACGTAGATTGTTGTTTAAAAAGTAATGTATAAAAAAAATTCGCTGTTTGTACTACGTAGATTGTTGTATAGCAAACGTGAGAGTAATGTTTAGAGTAGATATCCAATAATTGTTTCTTCTATGCCATTGATGATTTATATTAAAAAGTAATATTCACAATCATCGAAATGTTGAATCAGCCTTTAATAATCAAAAGATCTAAGACAAGATAAAATATAATTGAACAAGACCTAAATATTAATCTGAATATGCACAAGCTAGCTGCATGCAAAATTTGTTGAAAATTAATGAAATTTAGTTCGTCAATTGGCCTGCCATGCTCAAAATATGAACACGCTAGCTACGTACTCAATTTTTGTTGGAGAGAGGCAATCGGCAAT